CAAATTCCTGTAGATCCAACAAAGGTGAAGAGAGGTGAAAGCATACTGCCTTCTGACGCAAAAAGAGGAACAGAGGTGATTTTTTGCTTTTAGTGCAAGGGGAAAAAAATCAGTGTTTTTAAACCTCTTTTTCCCATTTTCACTCTTTTTTTTGTCTCACAGATGGAAAAAGTGGAGCAGAAAATTGCTTTGCCCAAAGCCACACACTGGCAGTAATTGAACTAGCAGACAGCATTGCTTTAAATTGAAAATGTGCAATATATTCATACTATTTGGCCTATTCTAACTGCTGTTTCTTTCTCTTGTCCACATATACTGTTTACTTTTCAACTGTATTTGCACAGCACTTCTGGTAACAGAATTTTGTAGGGATTTCCAACTTTGAGTTGCTTTCAAGGAGCTTCAAGAAAATAAGAAGGAATAGGAAAACCAAATTCACTAAGTTCTTGAGAGAGCGTCTCAAATTTTGGGTGGGTGCTGTTAACCAAGAAAGAGATTAAGGAGGCAGCTCTGCTTTCTGTTCTTGTCCAGCAATTGTGACCCTGATTTCTATTGTAAAGCAGCTGATGGGTCTCAGAGACAGTCCAACCCATCCCAGGGTGCTCTGCAATACACTAAACAGTGATAGTGGTTGTTTTGCTCAATGTACAGTCCTAAGGATCAACACACTGAAAAAAACCCCAAACATTTATTAGATGAGAATTGAGATGCAAAGAAGGTAAGAAATTAAGCCAGTCACAACAGAGGTTGGTGGCAGACATCAGGGAATGCCCATGGTTTGGTCTGGAGACTACTCTAGCTCTCTGTGTCAAACTGCCACTCCAGCTTCAGAAGAGAAACATAATGTGTTTGAAGGAGTCCATAGAGCAAAGTCTAAGAGAAACTAAAAGCAAAAAATAATGGAAGCTTAAAAGATTCATACCTCCTTCTCCAAAGAAGATGTTTTTATACCAGAGGTGAGATTCAGGTTCACCAGATCATACTTTTAAATCCAAGCAGATGTGGAACTGACTTTATTCTCAAAGAGGGGCTAAAGAGCATTAAGTCACAATGAAGAAAGAAACTTTTCTGTAGCTTTTGTGGTAAATGAGATCAGACATCACAGCTGCATTAAAGGACCTGTTGAAAAGCAATACAAAGGCTGGCTAATATCCAGCAGCCCATCAAATGGGTGCCATTTAAACATGGAGAAGCAACTGTCTCCAGGAACTGTTATGTGCAAAACCTTAATCACAGGCAGAAAGAAACCCACCCTTCGTGTAAAGTCACGCCAGATACATTATAATTCCAACCTTAGCCATTTAACTAACTAACTATTGTCAGTCTAGCTCTAATTACTGCAGAAAAAAAGAAAGGGAATAAAAACAAAGAGACTGTATAGAAAGTCTCAATAATAATACTACAGTTAAAATTGTTATGCGTGCACTACCTAGTACCTACCCCTACCCCTTTTCCTGGTGTCATGCTTATCCTTTCACCTCCCTGTGTCTTCTGCCTGGTGGAGGAAGCACAGTGGATCATCAGCATCTGGAGTTCTGTGCCTGCAGGAGTATGATGTTGGTGTTTATGGTTTCTTCTTCTTTCTCCCCCTTTTCCTCTTTTGGAAATACCTTTCACCTGGGGTTACTTTCGCATGTTTTCTAATAAAGTTTTACACCTTGCTTTTTCTTCACTGGCCTGCAACTGTGTATTTTGCTTTTTGTTTCTCTTATATACTCGTTCTTTCTTCTCTTTTTTACCCCTAAGGCTAGTCTTGTCCAGCTCCAGGTTTGCATTTAACTGACCACTGGCATGTTGTTTATTGACTTGGGGTCTCCAGTGCCAGTCTGTGCCCCATCTCTTATCATCCCATGCCACTACTTTACATTGCAGTCGGTGTCTTCACTTCTCAAGGTTGCTGCTGTTCTAATAGCTCTTTCTTACTGTACACTGCAGCATTATGTTAGAGTCATAAATATATCATTCTACATGGAATAACTACTTATCATTAATATCTATAGAACAACTGTGGTTACACCATGCAATGCAAAAATAAAACAAATTAGCCATTGTCTCCTGTCCTTAGGAAAATAGTTGTTACAAGTAAATCAAGTAAATCCAAAGCTCCAAGAAGACTGAGGAAGATCAGACAAAGCACATGTGATAAGCCTCCATCCTGAGGTCTTGCAGCACTTGGGACAAAGCCTGTAGACTGTTTACTATCCACAGCAATACAGTTGCAGCAGTGTTACTAGTATTACTGGGTGACATGTTATTACTTTCCAATTATGGATTAATAATTGTATGTTGAAAATTTGTATGTTGCATACAAATTTTCTGCATGTAGCAGCAGAGCTAAGTATTTTCAGAAAGGGCATGGGAAGGAAGCAGGAACACCTCTGACTAGAAACAGGCTATTGCACCTGAACTCATTAGTGGCTTTTTATGAGAGCAGTTCATAGTCCACGCACGCTTGGCTTAGACACACTGGGTGTGTGCTGCAAACAAGGTCACAAAAACCTGATACTGTAGTTGAACTGGAGGCATAATAGCATAAGGACACCTCCTGACTTTATAGGTTATTTCAAGGAAGTGGGGAATATTCAGCCTCTTTCAACAGATACTCTGTAAGCATAGAGGAGGATAATTACTTGAGTTTTCCTCTAGTCATAGAATAGAAACTATTTAAAGCAGTGTCAGGTCATCTGTTTAAAGCATATATTAATGGCAGAAAAGAATGAGCACTTGGCATTAAAAAAGTAATTTTAATCAATTTTTTTTCAGCAGTATGGTCCAGCATGTTATTCAGAAATGGCTTCTTTCTGTAAATGGATTGTGAATCAATAGTAGATATAAATAAAGCAGTACAAAGGGCACAGCATTCAACAAGCTGCCAGTCGTTGGAGCAAAGGATGGCAAAATCAGTATTACAAGATGGATACACAAATACATCAGAAATGAGCAGATAATACACAAATATCCACCTTTTTACAGAAATTTCAGAGCTCTGTCTTGTCCTAAGAACCACTGAAATATACATTAGTCTTTATGTGCTTTATATGAGAGATCAGTATGAGATAGTTTGGTTTGAAGTCTGGTTTTCACTAAACATTTTCAAGCCTATCCCTCTTAGAATGAAGAGAGTTCTTGAAACATAGAGAATGAATTGCCAGGCTGCCAAAGATCTTTCTGGAGACAGGAAAAAAAGAATTATAATCTGCAGACTTTGTATCATACCTCAAAGGATCAATTCTTGAGATATACTAACTACCCACAATTCCTGTAAGGTCTGTGAAAAGTGGTATTACTCAGCACTGTTTAGGATTTGACCTCCAACAGCAAGAGGAATAAAAATATGGGTTTTTTTCAAGCACAGATCATAAGAAATTTCTATTAGCTGTTCACAGCAGGACAATCTTATTTAAATGTTGCTAGTAGGAACTTAGGACATGACTCATATTGCATCTATCATAACTGTTAATTATTAATAAGTAAATATGTAATTTGGGACTTAATAGCTAATATTTCCAGGCCATTTGTGTAAATGGTTGTTTTCAACTGTGAGAGTGTCAGTTGCAGGAATTCAACATCCTTAGGTATTTCATAATTATTAACTGTACATTATGCTAATCTGAAAAATCTCTCATTATTCTCTTGTCAAAACTATGAACCTTGTATCCATTCAAAATGTCTGGTTCTCATGGCATAGTTTGAGACTGCAGATTACACACTCAGTAATGTTTTTAATACAAATAAAGATAAGGATAGAATATTTGTAACTACTGACCTACAATTTAGGATTAGCTGCTCACTAATCATGAGGTTTTATATCTTTTCCAGGATAATTTATTATTTGAATGGCAATTCTGGATAATTACTGCAAACCATATAAATGTCTAATTTTGCTCTGAACCCTTCTAAACCATAATGCTGCAGTAAGACAAACTTACAGGATGAATACATTTAAATCAGTTTTGAATTTGCCACATTTTAATATAGCTGTTCTGTTCCTACTGCCTTGCAAGCCAGAATTTCCCATTATATCTTCTTAACACCATCTGTTAATAATATTTATGGCAGTACTGCATAGGGGGTCAGCTGGGAATGGGGCCCTAAATGTACCAACACTGTCTATAAAAGGAAAGCGATTCTCTGCCTGGCAGATTCAACAGACAAAAAGCTGGAAGGAAGGAAGAGGGGCAGAGGGAACAATGAGATGGAAGCATACACTGTACCATTTTTATTTTTGCTTTCATTTGAATGTTTCTGTTCTTTTCCTGAGGCTCTGTTATGAAAGAATTGAGTAGACAGCAAGACCACGGTAACAAGGACATAGACCAAGCTATAGCAAGCAGCCTATCAAAACACATCACGGATTTTGGAATGCAAACTTCAAGAAAGCAATTCAGTCGTGCTACTGATTTCTAGATGTGCCTCGGCTATTCTTTCCTGCATAGCCCATGTTCAGTCCAGTACCACCTTAAGTCTCTCACCCTTACACACCCTGGATGAGGGGAATGGACTTTATTACTTACTATCTACTCTCTAAGAGGCTAAAAATTCAGTGAATTTGTGCTTTTGATATATTGGTTAGTTAGAAAGCATTGCCATTTTATAGACAGAAAACAGAAAGGCAAAAATTGACTCAGGAAATCTGGGAACAAATAAGTACATCTACAGCATTCTTTCTTTTTTTCAATCTATAAACCACTTCCTCAAGCTATACATGTAATACTTCATTATTCTGTAGTATGAAATTATTGCATCACCCCATTTTTTTAATAATGCCTTTCAAATTATTGGATCAATATTAACAATTATTTTGAGCACACTTCAGATGCATATGAACATAAACACATACTCATTACAGCAAAGCAGTCTCAGGCATCCTTCTGTTCAACGGGATTGGCAACACCAGTACAGATGAGTGAAAGCCTTTTTATGCTGTGTCTCCAAAAGCATTTAAATACATTAATGCTTGAGAGGATTAAAAAAACAAAGACACCACTACTGTATCCAGAATATCATTTATTTTTTCAAAATTCAATCAGGTGAGTGTAAGGTCCATTTGTATCCAGTTTTAACACCTGCCTGTTTCCATATGTGCCATGCTTGACAAGGACACCAGCTTCCACACATCTGGCATTGGCAGCCAGTTCTTTTTCACACAAAGTCACAAACTGAGAATAAAGTTCCAACCCTTTTTCTTTTTCAATGTTTGCATGGTACTGCATCTTTCTTCCCTTTGGCTTACCACCTAGGGTAGCTTGTGGTATGATAAGCACATTGCCTGGTAAGTCAAGAACAGAAACGAACTCGCCGTTTTCATTTTCACTTAATTTAACATTCAACAGCATATTGACTGCAAATAAAAATAAAATAAAAGTTAGTTTAAGTGAAGTAAATTAAACAGGACATCATAAAAAAGGTCCAACAAATATTTTGATGTGTGACCAGCTATTCAAATAAAAGAAGCATGAAATGAAACATGGACAGTCAATAAATACTATTAACCAACTAATATGCTTGAGTATTGTGATGAACATGAAGGATATTTATATTAATATCATATGTCCTAAGTGTTATTCTGGGGGGAAAGTAATTGGCTAAAAAAGGTTGAGTCTAGTTGGACACCCCAATGGAACTCAGGATCCAGTTGGTGACCCTAGCCTAATACCCAAATAGGCAGCACTTGCACAATACCACACATTGTGGGAGAGAACATCATCCTCAGTTAGCTGGGAGACCTTTCTGCCCCAACCATCTATTCATTTTGGTAGCAGTAGTTTGCAGCAGGACCCAGCCCTGATCTGGGCTGAAGTCACATCTCCACAGTTTGGTCTCAAGTGGAGTGAGTGTCCTTCAGCACTCCAAGACATGCAGATGCCAGTTTGTCTTTTGAGAGAGGAAGTGGGCAGGAAGGTCAGATGCAATTTGGTTTATAAGCCAAAATATATAAAGTTCCAAATAAAATGAATGCATTTACTAACATTACATTTTTCAGTGTTTCTAGAACAAACCAAAGCATTACCCCAAAACCTCCTCCAACTCTGTACAAGCTGTGAGGATACTAGTCATGCCTCCAAACCCATAAAAGTTTAATGTTGTTCAAAGCAAAAAGGCTGAGTTGGGATTCAGGAACCACACCAAAACATTTAAAGAGTTTCAAAATATATTAAGGAAAAAATATTCTGTAAGACAAGCACTCAGGGAGGATGGTCATAGATGAATTTCCTCCTAGGAAACAGAACTTTTTTTTCTGGCCTGCTTTACCTGCCCCACAGTTGAAAATGTAATTATTCTCATGTAACATTCTCATGAAACTCTCACAAGCACAAAATCAATTCTAATATTACAGTTTTAAATAAACCCAAATATTTCAACTTAATTTAGCATCACAGAAAGACTGTGTCCTCCAAGACCCAGACAGAACCCCTCAGAAGTTGCTTTCAGAATTTTTAATAACACCTGTGCTTGTGCACTGCTGGTCCCAGCCAGTAGTCTGAAATAGACTATTGTTGCACAACCTTTTGCCAAATCACTAATATCAGCCAGCACAACAAAGAAAAGGGGCATTTTTATCTGGAACATGTGGCATCACAGAACTTCCCAGGTGATCCAGTGCTACCGATGGGAGGAAAGGAGGGAGAAGAAGTGACATAAAAGTGAAAAAAACCCACCCTAAAACAGAACCAAATAATCAAAGCAAAACAGCAGTGGGTGAAGACAGAAATCACTACCATTTGACCTTATCCACAGCATCTTCTCTGCTCTGATGTAAATATTAAAATGCATCTGCAGAAGAGGAGAACTGCAGATGTTGCTGTTAATCACTTCTGAACCAGAAAATTGCACTTGAAATGCTAACAGCGCATACAGTACCACTGAAACGAGATGGGAAGGACACTGTTTAGTTATCCACCCAACTCCCTCTACTGGTTATAATTTTAAATATCCTGAATGTACAGTGAGATCAGCGTTAAAACTCTTATCAAATCAAGCCATGAACTATTTGCAATAGTTCTGTCCTGCACCAAATCTGTTGCCTGATACACCAACATGTTAAACTGCAGGTGCGGCATTTTATCTGTTTGCTAGGTTGGTCATGAGCAGATGGACAGAGTGAGGGGCATGGACAACTGTCAAAAAAAACAAGACAGACCAAACTGTTCTTTCAGGCAGGTGATTGATTTAGATTGATGTAATCTCATCTCTTCTTCACTTCTACTTGTCCAAATGGTTGCTGCCTTCTCTGCCTCTACTGCTTTTCTTCTTTTCCAAACAATACAAGAATTTATAAGGATTATGTCATACCAATTTTTGGAATGAGATCCTCATCAGCACCTTTGAAGAAGCATATGTAGATAACAAGTCCTCTCTGGATCTACAAAAGATTACAGAAAACTCTGTCAGTGTTTCTCATTGCCCACCATGCACACTTATCATTAGAAGTGAATTAAAAAATCATCAAAACCCACAAAAATCACATAATAAAAAAGGTTCCAAGAGCAGTTTTAGTACAGCCTCAGACATTAAGCTTACACAGCACACTGTGAATGAAAGCTTATACGATATATAGTGATTATCTGCACAATTAAGCCAATTTATTAGCTCTATGTGAAGTGAATTTTAGTTAGGAAGTACAACGTACACTATTAACACAGGCAAGGTGACAAGATGAATTAGTGTACTTAAATCCAGCATAGGAAATAATTTAAGCCTTTTTTCCTATTAAACATAAAGCTAAAATAATTTAAAGTGTGAATTATGAAATTATTTCCAATTATGAAACATGACAAACACCAGAGGACTTGTCAGTGAACTGAATTTTGATTTCAAATTCTGAAAACACACAGAATCTCTTAACTAAAGATTTCAATATGATGATCAACAACTATGAAGTTGTTACAAATATTATAAAGTTGTTCGAAATATTATTTATTAGTTTGGGTAAAATCTTCTGGGTGAAATGGGGCCTTTCCCCTGATTTGTATAGAGTGAAGGATATGGTACTTTTTTAGCATTAAGAGAGACTACTTGTAAGAAATATATATATGTGGGAAGATTTAAGTCTGTACTGAGGAGAAAGCACAAGAAAATTCCTGTGTAGCTTTTCTACTGTCTTGGTCAGCTAATGAGGAATGCTTGCACAACAGCCTGTGCTTTATTAAACACACCTACACTGATCGGCAAACAGCAATTATGTCTTATGCACAAATATACCTGAATGGTTTAACTTCTTCAGGAAAAAATCCAGAAAGGCATATAATATCCACAGGGATACAGTATATGAAAACCCTCACTGTTTTGTCAAGAATAAGTATCGCTATATTTTTGTTAGAAGAAAAATATATGTCGGTGGATGAAATACCACCTAAGAGATGTTAAATAGATTGGGACAGGAAGGAGTCATTAATATCAACATTATCAAAGCAAAAGGATAGGAAAAGTGGATAGTTTTTTTAAAAATGCCTTCTTTTTTTTAAAAAAAATTCCGCTTATCTGCTTTTCTTTCCTCTTTTCTTTAAAAGATAAAGGGTTTTGGTGAAGAAAACGTAGCTATACACATGAGATTTTAGCCCCTTATTGGCAGGGATAAAACAAAATGCTCAAGGCAATGACTGAGAAAACTATTCTCAACTGGTTTTCTAGTGACTAACTTCTGAAAAAAGAGAATGGTCTTTGTAGCCAAAATGTCACATGTTTAGAACTTGCAAAAGCCTTAGATGGCTCCTTTCAAACTCATTTTGACCACTGCCAAATATTACAGAGGTTTGCAAACGATTGCCATACTTCACAAACACTGGAAGAAATTTGATGGCCTGAACCTCAAATGACATTTCAAATCGTCTGTTCAAATAAGGGAGTGAAATGCAGGCTGCCAAACATTAGATATCCTTACATGTTCAGTTTAATATTTGTTCCAGAAACAGACAAGTGTCAGGATATTAACAGATAATAGCAATGCACACATAGCTCCTAATAAAAATGGTAGTAATAAAATAGGCCAAACACATTTACATTGTATACATCTGACCATGGCATTAGAAATATGTGACCCTGTGATACAGCACACATCACAGGACATCATTTCAATTCTGAGACTTGGGACAGTCTTTTTTTTGCAGTCTCACAGAAGTAACAATATTCTGCAATCAACTAATTAAAAAAGACAAAGAAAGTAAATAAAGTGACCTCTGCAAGTCCTACAGCCAGACAACTAAAGTTTAAATTAAAACATTCATTATTTTTCCAGCCTCTGTCATTATTTGACACCCGTTTTTGAATAAACCTTTTATCACAAGATGAGACATACATATTGAGGAAAGTTAGAGGGACGGGAGGTTAAATGAAAAAACAATTAATTCAGAGACAAGTTAAATATACTAGAGGATGCTTCAATTTATATTGCATGTTTATGGTCTTCTAGAACACTTTTCAACCATGATACTTGTAAGCTGAAACTATGACTGAAAACTGTGGTTGAACACTATTTTCAACACACATGCGACAATGTTTCAACTTCTTGCTGTGCCTTACTTAGTTCTTTAGTTTCCTTAATTGAATAGAAGAAGTAAAATTGAATGCAATTAGATGAGCAAACCTAAAAATAACATCTGTCAGTCTGACCTTTTGTCAGCGTTTCAGGTGTCCTAAGACTTGTGCTCATTGCCAGTGCACGGGAACGTGTAAACCTTTTAAACCAAAGCAAAGCCATTCCCATTGCTGAAGGTCCTCTGTAACCTACCAAAGTCTAGTTGACTGCTCTTCAGAGCTATATTTAATGCAGGAAAAATCAAGCAAAATAACAGAAATAAGAAGGCCATAAATTCAACATGCTGAAGTGCAAACAGCGATTGCAAGGAACTTACATAGTGCCAGGCAGGCGCTTGGGCAGGAAAGTTGTGCTCTTTGTGGATTTACTGTTATCAGTAATGTCTACATAAATGCACCAGCAAGGCAAGTTACTTTGCAACACTGGCACTGATTATACAACTGTCCTAAGCAATCATCAGGTCAGGTAACCTGCATCATGAAGGGCTGAAGCACCCAGTCTCACAGCCTTAGCAATGCTGCCTCCAAATGCTGCTTTGTAGCTCTTCTGCAGCACAAACAAAAACCTGACTCTTTCCTCACACTGAATTCACCTGAATTTTTCAGGATTTCATTAGTGCTTTTTTTTTTTACTTTTTTTTTCCCCATCAGGAAAATGCAAGGGATAATGAAAAGAGATTAGAAAGCCAGAAACTAACTTGCATAAATTATTCTTTGACATTTCCATTTCAAGTTCAGATTTGCTACCCTGTAGGAAGATTTCTTCATATTTCTTATATTCAGCTGCAGCAAAGAGAGATTACATCATCTGCCACAGGTCACAGAACAAGCCTGCACCTGGTACTTTGCACCTCTTTTTGCAATATTAACCAGAAAACAAACCAAGGGAAAGAAGATAAGGAAATGACAGTTTTCATTGCAGTTGAATATTCATTTTACGTTTCTTTTGTTCCACAGTTGTGAAATACACCAAACCTCACCTTATTTCACCCTTACTTTTAAAAGGCGAATTCCTTTTTTTTTCCTCCTAAGTATTTTGCTGTATACATAAACCTTTTATGGATGCTATCTAATCAATATTTCTTTATAAACAAGACATCCCATCCCCAGTAATCCCCAACAGGCCTGGAAAACTCGATCATGAAAACACAGTAAAGGCAGTGATTCATGTATAAATATAAAGTACACTCCTAACCTTTTTCCAGCTAAAAAACATCTGCTCTGAAGCTCCTAAAGTACCTACAGGGGTCTCTTACAGCTCAGAAGCTATTCAAAGCCACCTACATAATATGCTATTTATAGTATGCTAGAAATGTCTCAAGGTGAGGACCTACTTTTAAGTTGTTATAAAACATCAGGAACACACCGGTTGATGTAAATAATACTTGATGAGGTCCATATATTTTATTTTTTGCGTTGGCATGCATATATAGGGAGGAACATTACCCTGCCAGAAAACGTCTGCAGCAACGTTTCCATCTAAGGCCCTCTAAAGTAGTCATGCTAAAGACAATATGAACTTCCCATAATTTTACTTTTTTTTCCTGCATGGTGACTAGTTCTTGTTAAAACAGACTTCTCTGAAAAATCCCCAGGTACCCAGGAAAGATTCCTAAGTACCCATGGAAAATATTAGTAAAGTTCCTGTCTGAAAAATATATGCTTCTGAGACCACCCAAATCTCTTGCAGATTCCCTTAGTGCCATCTATTACTTTTCCCCGTGATTTTGCTTAATCTGTTAAAAACTTCAAATAAGAGATATAAGCTCCATAACCTCCTTGTAACAGTTACTCATGTTATCCCTAAACCATAACATATACCTCTTTTCAGATAGTTTAAAAGACAGCAAAACTAATTTCTGCTTTTATTTAGTAGTACAATTACTTCTGAGATTAGCAAGCTACAAGTAGGTTATTTCTTCTATAGTTAATTTATACTGGCGTAAGAAACTGAAGAAAACCCAAACTGTTTTGTCTCAACAATGCACACCCGTGCAGTGTACCCAGATGTGGTTGCCAACATGATGATTGTCAGGCCTTGCAGTGCCAGAGAACTGGCTGCCTGGGACATGCAGATATGGAACAGACACAATGTGTCCCCCTCAAAGGAGGAGTCCCTCTTCGCCAAAAAATTGTCAGTTCACTGCTGCAAAGGATCTCTGATAAGAACTATCAAGGCATATGGGGGGAAAGTGCTGTTACCCTGGTCTACAAACTGCAGCAATCGAGCTGTAAAGGGGAAAGGAGCCGTAAGCATAGAAGTGGCAAGCTGACACCTCCCAGGCGAGAGATCTCCCCCCACTGAAGAAGATGGATCCACAGGACGCTGCTGGATCCACAATGGTATTTATCCTTTGCTTTTTATAATATTCTTTGTGTTTTTCCCACTTTCCTTCTTTCCCCCTTTTCTGTGTCTCTCTTCGATGCTAATAAAGTGAGTTACAGTTTTGGCTACCAACATCTGACCTCATTTGTGTCTTAATCTCACTCCGGGTATATTCAACCCTAAATCCTCTCCACTTTCGTGGATCGTGACAGCTGGGCTGAGCAACTTTCATTGCAATTAACCTTACACTGAGAGGCTAATAATGCAATACACACAGATGCATTTCAGCCAAACACAGTATCTGTGAGATGACATGCAGTCCCTCTAAGAAAAACATTCTGGTTTCCCAGACCATGCTGCAGAAGCTAGGTCTTATGGATCCACCTGCCCCTTTTGAACAAGGAGAGAAATGTTTCAAGGACAATGTGAAGGGCAAATAGTGAACTCTCTTCAGATTTATTGAATGAACTCATAAACCTGTTAAACATGCTATAATTTTTACT